ACACTTGCTATTTTGCATGTTCCAAATCCATTAGAAGATACCAAGCCATGAGTGGATTCTAACGCAGACTGTGGACTTTGGGTGATGGCAACATGTCAACATTGTGATCCACCAGTGGTAACAAGTGTATTACTGTGTGTGGGTGGTTTTATTATTTGGTGTGGTTGTGTCTTTGTGGGAGCAAAGGCTATACTATGAGTCTTCAGATTTAGACAATTTTGCTATGAACCTAAAACTGCTCTAAAACTCAAGGCAAAAGTGGTCTGCCCTGGAGGACATGATGCTGTGCAAGGGAAGCCAAGAACACAATGAAAACTGTCATGTGACTTTACTTCTGTGTAGAGTTTAAATGAGGTTAAGAGCTAGAGAGTAGAATTGGTTACTAGGATGGGGAGGGGAGCCATCAAAGGAGAGGGAAGTTGCAGATGAAAAGGAAAAGCTTTTGGGTGAGTAAGAGCGATACTTGTAGACTGACTGCACAATAGTGTTCACTAAAGAAAAATGGCACCTTTCAAAAAAAAAAAGAAGAGTAAAATTTAAATATCTAACCAAAATATGATAGAATGGTGGGTATGTTTGTTGGTAGGTTCTCTATTCCTTTTCATATACCTGCTTGGAAACTTATTATACCTCATAAATCTATACAATTATGGTTTAACCGATAAAAGCTATATTGATTGAAAAACCAAAAACAAGGGGGTTAGAGAGATGGCTCAGCAGTTAAGAGCACTTGCTGCTCTTACAGGGGACCTGGGTTCAGTTCCTAGCACCTACATGGGGGCTCACAACTGTTTGTAAATTTCCAGGTGCCCTGGAAATTTGGTGCCCTCTTCTGTCCTCCCCAGTACCAAGGTATACACATGGTACAGGAACATACATACAGGCAAAGCACCTACACATACAAAAATAAACTGTAGCTAGAGTTTTCCTGCCTTGCCCACAGTCAGGACAAATCTTTGTCAGTCCCACGGCCGCTCAGACCCAACCAAGTAAACACAGAGACTTATATTGCTTACAAACTGTGTGGCCGTGGCAGGCTTCTTGCTAACTGTTCTTATATCTTAAATTAATCCATTTCCATAAATCTATACCTTGCCACGTGGCTTGTGGCTTACCAGAGTCTTCACATGGTTCTTGTCATGGCGGAGGCTGGCAGTGACTCCTTCTGCCTTCCTGTTCTTTTTCTCCTCTCTCTTAATCTCGCCTATACTTCCTGCCTAGTCATTGGCCAATCAGTGTTTTATTTATTGACCAATCAGAACAATTTGACATACAGACCATCCCACAGCAATAAACAAATGAAATCATTCAAAAAACATAATCTAGATGTTTTGACCAAAGCATAAATATCATGCTATCACACATGACAGTTTCCCATGTAAGCACTTCACCCCCCTACAAATGCCCTCTATCACTTTATACCAACTATATAAAGTGTCCTAAACACTTTACATCATCTTGACACTAGTTAGAGTCACCAGATCATAGCCCATATGGGGAACAGCCCTACCAGTTTCCCATGGGTCCAAGGCCTTGAGGTTCTTGATGACTATACCCATGTCAATACATATTTACTCAGGAATTCAGTCACTGGGGCTTCCTCTTCTCCCCACAAGATAAGATAAACCTTTTCCTTCCTCGGTTGCTTTTGAACTAAAGAGTGCCAAGACTTCTCCTTTCCACAGAAACCTCATTCAGTGTGCTGTTGTTTGCAAAATAGCTTGCTGGAATCAAAATTAGTGTTGCACTAATATATGTTATGTTACACCTTAGATATTACATATTAAGCATTATATATTATACCAAGATACAGAATGCAGATAGAGAGGTTGGCATCTTAATAGTGTTCAGTCTTCTAACCTGCTAGCATGGGCTGTCAGGTTGTGGACTGGCCTCTTAGACAGCCCCCTTGGCGTTTCACAGACTTCCAGCTGTAGATCTCTACAGGTTTCGTTGGAGGCTTCAGTGTTTTCTATATACTGTTTTCTCTCTCACTGATTTTCCTTTCTGTTGTTTCCCATATATGGCATGTGTCATGAAGAGCTTAGATTGCAGAAACTAGTCTTCACCTTTCTGCTTTCTGAGGCGTTCTGGGCAGAGAGGGAAGAGAACCCAGGGTGGCGAGTGTCCAGGGTCGTTTGGAGAGCAACGAAGGTCAAACCAACAGAAAATGATAGAGAAGTCAATACCCAGCGCCAAAACCCAAGACAATTTCTCCATTGCTTTGAGGACTTGGGGGTTAGGATGATGGCGTCTATTTTAGGGGATGGAGGTAGCCCCAGGAAGGAACGAACTGATTGACCTTACACTGGGGTTCAGGTTCCCCTTACTTATTCATGACATTAAATCAGGACTGGACAGACAGGAGCGAAACCACCACTCCAGGCTTTCTACATAGAAACCCAGGTTCTTGGACTATTAACAGGGTGTGGTTAAAAGTATGAGAAGGAGGGGATTATTCTCCAAAGCTGAAGCCTCCTCCAACTCAGCTATTATAGCCTCCCCCAATGCCACAACTGCCCCCTCCGATGGAGATCCTCTTGGAGCTCCCCACACCATAGAGGCTCCTGCTGCCAAAGCCAGCTCCTCCACACATGGCCCCAGAGCCACCACTGCC